AAAAAAAACTGGCTGAGGGAATAGCTCAGTGGTAAAGCACTCCTGGGTTTTATCGCCAATACAAAAAAAAAATAAATAAATACATCCATGTTTCAAGTAGGCTCATGATCAGACCAGAGCCCTCTCCAAACCTGCTTTTCCATTGTGTGTGTGTGTGTGTGTGTGTGTGTGTGTGTGTGTGTGTGTGGCGGGGGTGTACTACTGGAGATTGGACCTTGGGGCTCTAAGCTATATTCCCAGCCTCTTTCACTTTTTATTTTCAAACAGACTCTTGCTAATTTGTTCAGTCTGGCCTCAAACTTGCAATCCTCCTCGCTCAGCCTCGCAGATCTCTGGGATTACAGGCCAGTGAACTGCGCCTGGCTTCTTATTTTTATTTCACGTTATGTGGTCCGCCTTTGCACCTRTTCTTCTGTGCCAAGGACAAACGCAAGCGCTGATAGGGCAAAGGGGTCATGTGACTTGATAGTGGTGAGAAGCGGGAAGGCCACGGTAAAGGCGTTGCAGAGAACATTTTTTTTTTTTCATTAATGAAGATATGAACACTCGGTGCTTTTTTTAAAAAGGAGAGTGGGGAGAGAGAAGGACAACAGCTGCAAACATTAATGCCGTCTCTGGTGAATTTCATTGTTTGTGAAGAAGTGGAAATACCTGTTCTGTCAATTGGTTCTTGGTTACTTTCTGATCTCTCAGAGAAGCACCTCCTACTTCCAGATTTGACTCCATGGCTCCCGGCACCTGCTCTGGAATGCAGCCTGAAGGAACAGCCCATAAAACCACCAAATATGACGATCCCTAGATCCAGGAAGCACAACGAACCTGGGTCCTGCTCTGGGGATCACCCTCTCAGGGAACMCTGGAAAACTGAAGTGTGCGTGATCGTAACGGCGACAAATTTGGAAGTTTTATCATATGAGAAATTATTGAAGAAACTGGTCATGTTTAACCTGGAGGAAAAAATTCAGAGGGGCATGCGTGCTCAAATATTTGAAGAGCTATCACATAAGCCCAGACTGTGTAACTGAGTCAATGGAGCATATCACTAAGAAGCAGATATTGACTCATATAAATAATAGGATATTAAAACTGAAAACTGGAAAGAATCTGTGGTTGTTCAATTCAAGTGGGTTTTTTTTTGTTTTGTTTTTTTGTTGTTTTTGGTTTGGGGTTTGGGTTGGTTTTTTTTTTTTTAAGTATTTGGCACTGAGGGTGCTACCCCACTAAGCCATTTCTCTAGCCCTTTTTATTATTTTTTTTTATTTTGAGACAGGGTCTTGCTAACTTTCCCAATACAATAGTCTTGAACTTGTGATCTTCCTGCCTCAACCTCCCAAATCTCTGGGATTAAAGGTATGTGCCACCAAAAAAAAAAAAAAAAAAAAGCTAAGTTGTTTGTTTGTTTGCTTTCATTTTGTAGGTGGAAAACTGAGGCCCAAAGAGATTGCCACATCCCTAAAATTACATAATTAGTCAGTGGGAAAAGTCAGAATTAGCTTTAGTTTATCTCAATCAATCCAGCCTCTCACACTGTACCCCACTACCAGAGAAGAACTTTCTAGCAAATGAAGTCAACCAAATATACAATTTCAATGAATGTTATACAATTTCAATGAATGTACCTAGTTCATTCAGCTGTTTCATAAACATGCTTAAGGAAAAACCATCTCAGAGCAAGATCCTAGACTGAAGACTTTTCAAATCAGGTAGGAAGTTGCATTAGGAATGACAAATACCCAGCACATACATCCAGACTTTGGCTTTTCCAGGGCTATGTCAGATGCAACTAATTAATTATGACACACTTTTCCCACTGAGCCCAGATGTAACYCTCAAGTTACCCCTACCAACCAATTAAAGTTAGGAATCGAGATGAAAGCTATTAGCCATTCCTGCCCCAGACAATTCTTCAGATCCTTCCATTATTAAGAATGAATTATAAATTAAAGAATGAATGAACAGCCAGGCACTAGGGTACACACCTTTAATCCCAGCCACTCAGGAGACAGAGGCAAGGGGATCACAAGTTCAAGGCCAGCATGGGAAATTTAGGGAGATCCTCTTTCAAAATAGAATAATAAAAACGGTTGGAGATGTAGCTCAGTGGTCAAGCGCCCCTTGGTTTCAACCCCCAGTACCAGAAGAAGGAGAAGGAGAATAAGAGTGGGGAAACATTTGTATCAGTGAAGCTTCTTTAACAGAAATCAATTCTGGTCTTAACTAAAGTAAATAAAGAATTCACTAGAAAGTTGTGGTAGCTCAGAGGCCCAAAGAAAATGCTGACCAGTCAGGTCACAGAAAGGACAAAGCCAGAGACCGTGGGGATGCAGACCCTGGGGCCTGAGTGGRAGTATTTTTTTCAGTTTTCTGTTCCCTGGCTACTCAGAGAAGATTCAGTTGCCAACAGTGAAGCTCGACTGGA